TTTTAGTTTTATATATGCTTCAAGGTTATAAATTATTCTGACTAACAATGAAATAGACAGGGGGGAAGGTTTTATGCAATCTTAATTTTAAAAATGTTAAGCGCCAGTACATACTATTTTCTAAATACTTTCAAGGGCATTTTCCTAGAATCAGGTAAATGAGAGCAAGCAAGTGACCTACTTAGAGCAAAAATTGCTCTGGGTTATAAAGGATGGGAAGCCAAGTGCATCCTGGAAACCACAGCATCTGGTCTTATTTTATGCCTCATCTATCAATCTGTTGTTACAGGAATTGAGAATTAACATTTCAACTACTGTTTCTTCTATTTTAGCTAATGAATTTATATCTTTGTTCTGCTTACCCAGTCCTTCCCATTTCTTCCCCAATTTAAAAAAACATATGGAGGGGCTTTTATGAAGGTCCCAAATTAATTCTAGGAAGATCACTGTTTCATCTATGTCTTAAAACTTTTGCTAATGAGACTGTAGTAAAGTTAGACATCTTTTGGAGCAATTCTCTGTTTTTGCTCAATTCTCTGACTTTTCACAGATAGTATCATTTGAACAGTGCTGTAACAAAGCTAAAAAACAAAATATTGTTGATTTTAAGTAAATATCTAAGCCCTAGAAAATATTTTTGGTAGATGCTTAAAAAAACATACAATTGGTAGTACTGCTTAAGAAAGAGGGTTATGTAGAAATGCAAGATTATCGATTAGTGCTACCCTGATGGCATGATAAATTACATATAACTCATTTTATATACACTCATTTTAAATTATGTGTAAAGTTTAAAAATATAAAAGCATGGAAAATAGATTTACAACAATATGTTATTTGAACTTTGCTGTTGTATTTCTTTTAGCTTTTTTTTTTTTTTTTTTAAAGAAAGACAGGGTCTTGTTGTGTTGCCCAGGCTCGTCTCAAACTTCTGGCCTCAAGCTACCCTCCCACCTCAGCTTCCCAAAATGCTGGGATTGTAGGCATGAACCACCACACCTGGCCAGCTCTCTGCTTTTTATAGAATGGAGCTATCAATTCATCTTTCCACTTCTTCCAATCTGTTAACATTTTATATTTCTATTATTTTTTCTTAATTATATCTTATTCTTCTGTTGGAGTTTTTTTTTTTTTTTTTTTCCTGAGTCGGAGTCTCACTCTATTGCCCAAGCTGGAGTTCAGTGGCATGGTCACCACCACCACAGCTTCAACCTGCCGGGCTTAGGCTATCCTTCCACCTTAGTCTTCCAAGTAGCTGGAACCACAGGTGTGGGCCACCACACCCAGCTAACTTTTTGATTTATTGTAGAGACGAGGTCTCACCATGTTGCCCAGGCTGATCTCGAACCTATGGACTCAGGTAATCCTCTCGCCTCCGCCCCCAAAATGCTGGAATTACAGGCACGAGCCACCACGCCTGGCTCTGCTGGAGTTTCAAGCACTAATCCTGATCTTTCTCAGTGCTCTCATGGCTTCAGGTACAGCTTTACATTCTTGCTTTACTTTTCTTTCTCCATCTCTTCTATTTAATTTACCTTGTCAAAATAATAATTATATGATTTTAAAAATTAAAAAAATAATTAAAATGATTCTTTTCCAATGAAATGTCTTTAAAAATAACCAAAGTTACCATGTGACTATCATATTGGCATAATTATTGCTATATAATGTTATCTATTTTTTGAAGTTCTGCTCTTTCTAAATCACTGCCAAGTGAATTATTTCTAATGAGTAATGAATAAGGTCAGGTGTTCCCATGTTTACTTAACCAAAGACTTCAGATTTGTTTTTCCTTCCAAAGGGATTTTATTCTTAATCTCATCATGAGGCTTTCTTGCCTTGATTTCTGGGTGTATCCAGCTGGCTTAATGGTTCAGCTAACCAGATAGGCCTTTGGGCTGTGATGGTAAAGACTTTTTGCAAAAATACATAGCGTCTTCACTAACTAGAGCAGAGTTTCTCAAAATGTGGCCCAAAACTACCTATAGCCAAATCAACTCAGATGTGTTTATTGATTGATTTATATGCTTAAAAAACAGAAACTATTTCTCATAGTTTTGGAGGTTGGGAAGTTCAAAATCAGCATGCTGGCAAATTCTGTGCCTGGTGAGGTCACTCTTCCTGGCTTGTAGACAGATATCTTCTACAAGCATCCTCATGTAGCAAAAAGTTCAGATGCTTATTTTAAAATGCAGATTCTTAGGCCAAAACCTAGAGCAGTTCAATAGGAGCCTCCAAGGCTGGGAGCCAGGAATCTGCATTTTTCAAAGTTGTTCAATCTAAGCTATACACAATAAAATTTGAGAACACCAAATCTAAAAAATCCCTTCCTCCCATCAGGTATCCAGTGCATTAACCTGGGCTGCAGAGCAAACTAACCACACCTCAACCAATAACAAAAATGGAAAACTTTGTTACCACGAGGAAGAACTAATATGACTATTCTAAGATGTATTGATACAAAATACACACACACACACACACAAAACCCCAAAACTTTCTACAATAAACATGATCATTATTTTTAATGTCCCAACTCTAACAAAGAGGGAAGGCCCAGAAAGTCTACAAAAATGTTGCTATAATTTTCTGATTAATATTACACATAATGAATTATTTATTGAGCCCCTACTGTGGGTCAAATATGGTATTTTGTGTTGCCAGGGATTATATAAAGCTATCCTGGGATGAAAAGCATATGTTCACTCTGCTCTATTCTGGAAGAACATACTTGATTTAGTGATTGTTGAAAATGAACATGCATGGTATGTGGGAAGGCAATAATTTGATGTCTTAGGGCCCAGACACAGAAGTTTCTTAAGGATTTCCTAAGTGAAACATTAGATACTAAAGGTGTAAGTATAGCCACACAGCTGGAAAGAGAATGTGGAGGTGAACTTATTGTGGAGCTTATACAACTCTTTATGGTCAGCCTTGATGATGTTATCCAAGTTTCCTTTCCTGTGCAATCATACCTCAGGTATTAGACAGATGAATTAAGATTAGACATGACGAATTAGGAACTCCACTTCATTGTAGGATTCATTTAGAATGTCCTTAGTAAGTGAACGATTCCTCATGATTCTCCTAAGACTTTCTCTGTTTCAGCATTGACAGTTCTACATCCCAGAAGACCACTTAGTCTCATGCAAACTGGGTAGGCTGGTCACCCTGATCCTTGGAATAAGGCAGGTGAGGTTCTTAGTTGAATCAGTTTCACTCAGTAAATAAATGGAAATTCATTATCATCTTGAATTTCTCAGCTCATTTTCCTAACCAGTGGGTATGATTACCCTAGTGGGTCACAATACCTGTTTGTTTCTTTCAGTGATCCTTTTACCCCTGTTAGTCCCCATGAGCATCCCAAGCAATGCCTCAGCTTGAGATCATCCCAGGGACCCACTGGAGAACCTCTGCAAAGACTGCTGAGCACAAATGGCCTGGTTTTTTTTGTGAACATTGTCCTAGTCTTATAATCCTATTCTTCTAAAATTTGTGTCTCTATCTCTAATCAGTCTTGTACTTCCAAACCTATTTTGACATCATTAAAAAAATTATATTATGAATGTAGGCACACACATATATTAAGTCTTAAAGACAGAAAGGTATAAGGTGTAAAACATGAACCATTTACAGTACTAAATTCCATTCTGATTCTTGTCAATGAACTTAAACATAGTTTTTCAAAATTCATACATCCCTTTCATCACATCTTTACACTTTAAAGTCTTGTGATTTTGGCATTTCATGGTCTTACTTCTTTCAATTAGTTTTAAAATTTCAACTGGTATTAAATCACTGTCTTAAAGAGTACCTGTAAAGTGCAGGGTTTGAATGAGACATACCTAAGTTCCGATGAAATGTTGCCTCTTATTAGGTGCATGAACTTAGGAAAGTTCCTCTCTCTAAGCTTTAAACTTTAAACTGTGCTCCTTTATAAAAATGGAGAAAATAATGCCTATTTTAGAGGATGAGGGGAAACATTTAGATTATGAATGTAAAGCACATAGCATCTTCCCTGACCCCTAATAGACACTCACTAGACTGTACTATCTTCATGACAATATTACAAGTTTGTAACTAGCAGCGTACGCTAATTGAACGATCAGGCTGCAGAATTCTTTAGCCATCAAAGAGGATGCCTCGAGTAGAGAGGCACAAGTTGCCATGCGGGAAAGACAGGGAGGTGAACTGTCACATTACTTCACAGTTTCATCGCCTCTATCTGAAGGAAGTGATGCTTCTTATATCTGGGGACAGTATTTAATATCACCTGACCATCACACACTACATTCAGGAGGCGCCGGCTTTCATGTTTCCTCCCTTGGGATCTCTGGTGTCACGGCGCTCATTATGGAAAGGGGAAGTGTTAAGAGAAAAAGGGAAGTCACCAAAATGCAAAACCTGTCACCAGATGCCCGATTCCGTCCCAAATACCGGGCCGGCCTGCGTGAGCTGCTAAGTCGTTTCGCCGAAGGATTTTCAGGCACCACCCCCAGGTGTTTGTCAGTACAGAGATGGGGGAGGAGGGTGAGCTCACCCTAGAAACCGAACGGCAGATGGTGAGGGTGGGGGGTGGCCACGCGCGTCTGCGCTTTGGCTATAGTACAGACAGAGCCGCAGCGTGAGGGTTTGCACAGAGGGGTGGGAGAGAGGGTCAAACTGAAGACAGGTAAGAATTTCTTTGCCGGGGACGCAGAGCATTTCTGCACTCTCGAGAAGGCTCCCCGATGTGTCAAGGTTGCGCCTGGAGCCCGCGGGCATGGCTGGGGCTTTTTGGGATAAGCGCTACCCAAATCCAACCGCTGAGACTCAGCAGCCTAAACTCAGAGCCTTGGTGAGTGCTGCTTGCAGACACGCCGGCTTCACGGAAAGCCTCAGCCCAGCAGGTGTAAGGTGCAGTATCAGGTGCGCAAACTCATTCCTACCCTACCCCCCCGCCATTTCTTAACCTGGAAACGCGCCGCCTCCGTGCCGACGGTCGCAGGTCGCGCATGCTCCGTGCGGGGGGGGCGGGCCGCGTATCCCGCCGGAAGTGCTCTCTCCCAGGCTGCATTTCCTTCCTGTGCGAGGCCGGCTGAGGGCTTCTGCTCCCGCTGTTTCTGCCCCGGGGTGAGTAGCGGGTTCCCGCGGGCCTCGTGGGACCAGTGCAGGGTCCCGCTGAACTTCTTTAGGGAACAGCTCGGATCTGGGAAGCCCAGCCGGAAAGGTCACCTCCCCTCCTCCCTCGCCCCACCTCAGTGCCTCCCCTCCTCCCCCGCAGCGTCCCACAGCCCTTAGTTCCGAGAGGATTAACCTCCAAGGGCGTCCCGGGCCTCGCCTTGGCTTCCGGCCTGGCCTGGGCCCTTAGGTCTCCGTTGGCGCTGCCCCCCAAGACTTGTGCCAGTCCCGGTCACTGTGGGGGTTTGGGGTCGTCCCGGGAGACCTCAGAATCAGGCTCCTTGGTGGAGGCGGCTGAAATGAATCAGGTCTGACCGTCGCACGGCGCTGCTACCGCCTTATGCAAAAGCGATGGTGGTTCTTCAGGGCTGGGCACGCTTTCGCGGAGGATGAGGATGTTAATAATAACCTGCCCTCTGTGTGAAGGTCGGCAGGCCTTCATTGTCATAGGCTGTCTTCGTAGGGCCTTGATGTCTTCGAAACTGGGACTCTTAGAGTTTAAGAAACCGTTTGTAAAGCACTGCAGCGAACGAGGAGAGAAATAACTACAGTAGGAACGCAGTACTTGTCAATAAATTGATTATAGGGCGAGCTAGTACGATTTCAAAGTTTTCCACCCTGAATTGGAGAACTCCTTAAAATGAAACTATCTGATATACCTGCCTGACAAATAACTCTTAAATTGCAGTATGCTGCGACATTTTAGTTGCCCGTAACAGTCTTTTTTTACTTATTCATGTTGTTGAACCTAAGGCTTACACAAGATTGAGATACACGTTCTCCTGTTGTAGGCCCATACACCTTTTATTGTCTATTCGGTTGTAATGGTCTTGTTACTGTAGCGACCTTACATGGCAGGTATATCGATGCCACATGAGTGACAAATGAGTGGACGATCAAGTTTAGTACAGTTACAATCTGCGGAACAAGAAGTTTCAGTTTCAGTTCAGAATTTTGAAGTTATTTAAAAAGATGGACTACCCTTTTAGAAGTGGCCACAGTAAGTTTTTACTGTACTACCGTTAATTTCAGAATTGGAGAATAGAGAAACCGGAGTTTTGTGTCTCGGCATCTTTCATAGGATTTTTATAGAATTTATAATCTCGATGACTTTGGGATGTGCTGATAACAGCCCTAATTTGCTCAGCTAGTTCACTAATTATCCAGTAGGTGGCAGCTTTATCACTATCAACTCTAAATAAATGAAAATGTTTTACTGGAATGCCACTACCTTTCCCAAATTGAGTTAATAAAACCCTCATCTTGTCTAAATTAGACTATTTCCATTTATGCATGTGCCCCATTATGATGATGCCACACATTCTAACTGCATTTTCAACTTTACCCTGCGGAATAAAGACAAGAAAAGTCAGATTTCCGTTTCCTACGAGAAGTAAAATATTGTTTAATCCACTTTTTGGTGTCCATGCTGATGGAAGAAAACACACTTTGATTTGTTATATGAGAGATTTTAGTTAGGTAGCTTCTCCTTTCTGGCTTCTTTTTTTCCCTTTGTAGTTAATATAACTGGGCAGTAATTGTAACTTAGTCATTATTGCACGTTCAGTATGTACATTAGTAGGTGTGATATATGGATATTCAATAAGTGCTTGTGGAATGAATTAAATTATTTAACATCCCTAGGCCATAGTTTCTTCATCCAAAATGGAGATTTTCAATTACTTAGTTAAGTTTAAATTAAATAACATAATTATTATGAAGTGAGTGGTTCCTAGTAGTAGAGAAGTGGGGAACCTTGACTTTTGGAAATCTTCAGAAGTCTGGCAGTGACTCTTGGAATGATTGAATGGGAGGTTTTTCTTCGGTTGCAATTTGTCTGTTGAATAGATGCCTTTTGAATAGCCTCTGTTTTGTGTGATAATTATGAGGATTCAAAATCTAGTTGAATCGAGCTCAGTAATGATTAAAAACAAGACATTTCTTAAGATAGTGTAATAGGGCCAAATGAATAACAGAGAGGATTCATGTGATCTGAAAGGCTTTGTGGGTTCTTGATGTTTGGAATAGTATTTTACTAATCCTAAATGAGTGGGTGGAAATGACCCAACTAGAGTAGCCCTCAAATAATACTGAAGGGAAAATACAGGTGGCATCTTCAGATGCTAGTGGCTCTAGCTATTGAGAGTTTCTTTGAGTAGTGTATGAGGTAAAATACTTAAAATTGACTCTGAAGCTAGGTTAGAATAGTTTTGAATGCTTGGGAATCCTGTAAAGAGAAAGTGTGAGTCTTGATAAGGGAGAAGGAATATATAGTATTAAATGGAGGGGAGGGGTAGAAGGAATTTAAACATTATTAAAGCTATTCTGGAGGGAGAGAGGTGAAGAGGATCTTTAGTAGTAGTGAGAAGAGAAACAGTAATTTTAGAGCTAACAGGACTGTGGATATTATTCTATATAGTACCTAATTTTTACCTTTTGCTGATGCTAATGTACAAATTGTGTCTTATTCGTTGTCATGTGAATGCAAATTATATATTCTCTTTGGAGGGCAGGTCCCTTGTAGTACAGGCTTCCCCCGCTAGGTAAGTGTTCTAGGAACCCATTGGCATTCAGTGTACCACCTAGTGTTGTGAGAGGCAGTGTTTGGCTTCAGTGAAGTTTTCTTGGGAATTCTTTCCGGTTTTCATGATGGGTTATTTACAAGTGTACCTGCTCACAATGTGCTGAGTGTTAGTAGTTTTTGACCAAAAAATGCCTTGGCCCCTGTGCACTACTCTTCCTGTTCACTCGATCTTGCTCCAAACAACTTGCAGATGAAAAAAGTCCTCAAAGGGAAACATTTTGACAATGTGGAAGAGGTGAAACAAAAAACAGCAGTGCATTAAAAGGCCTCAAAATTGGCTAGTTCAAAAACTTTTGAGCAGTAGAAAAAGTGTCTTGATAGGCGAATTGCATCAAACGGAGAGTACTTTGAAAGTGACTGAGGTATAAACATGTAAGAGTAAATACGTAATTTTTATAACTAAATTCTGGGTTTTTTTGTGTCCCCACTTGTATATTCCATAGCACTCAGCACACTACTGTGCTGACAGTATAATTGCATTATTTGAAGCTGTGTTCCTATTTCCCAAAATGTCATGGTCACGTCATTCCTAACAAGCTTATTCTTCTGGGTAGTTACTGCCTTTGACAAGGGAGTGCCTGTAAACCTAGGTTTGATTAATGTAGTTGCTCAGGGATACATGTAAAAGTAGGCATATCACCTCCTTTTTTTCTCTATAAGTTGGGTGAGTACTGTATTCTTTTTTTAAACAATTAATTTATTTCAAGATGTGGGGTACAATTCAGGGTTAGGTGTACAAACATTGATCATGCAGGTACTCTTGTTGATGAGGTATGCCCCTCCCTCCCCTAGCAGTTTCCCTCAGCTGCCAGTCCCACCCTCCCCAACCCCCAGTACTGTATTCTTGTGATAGTTTTCTTGGTTCAAAATTTTTGAAAGTTCTGTTGCTTCATACTTAGCTAGGTTGTCGGGAGCAGTAGGGGGTTTCAAAAAACTTAATGTCACTTATAAATTGGGAAAATGGCATGCTTAGGCTTAAGCAGGCCTTAAAAACCTTTAAAAGTAGGTGTGAGGAAAAAGTGTCAGTTCACAGTGTGAATTTCACTTTCGAAAGTTATCTGGTATATGTTACATTTAATAGAAGTCCTTACCATCATATTAGTAAAGCATTGTTAGGTTGCCTTTCTTCAGTTGGATTAGTGTAATAGTCAATCCCTGTCTAGATTCTTTGGCATAGTTACTTATAAGTTGTTTGAAAGAGTAAATACCTTAAGATATTTATTGTATTTTTCAAATGGAATTATTCATTCTACGACTAATTAAACCTCGGTTTCTAAGCTACTTCAGAGGAGCTTGAACCCTTTGCACTTGGATATCCCCTCTGAGGGGACGTCGTAAATCTAGCAAACCACTCAGATGTCACCTCTTGGAATATAAAGAGATTGCTGGTGATTATACAGGATAAACTTATGCTAGTGCAAATTTTTCAAAAATGTATGTTTCCTTGAAGTTTTCCATTGAAATTGTTCAAAAAAGCAAATAAAAAGATGGAATATATACTGAGATAATACGTTTAAAAAAATCAGCGGACTTTATCTAGAAAGAGAATGTCCTTCCACATCATTTTTGAACAACAGACTGGACAATAAATGATATATTGTTAATGTGGGAGGAAGAAAATGAGACTGCAGTGTCTACTGGAAAAGAAAAAACCAGGTGGAAGATGGTAAACAAATTACTATGCACAACATGTGTCTGTCAGTGAACCTGCGATGTATGTTGGTGACTGTTTCACATGTTACCACAGGTTAGAGAAATATAAGATACACAATTTTGATTTCTTTCGTCATAAATATGTTCCTCAATGTCCAAAATTCCAGTATAAGTCAAATCATTCCAATAAAATAATTGATTCCAAAGCTATACTATTTAATATGAAGTGATTCATTTTTCACTATTTTGTAAAAAAAAAGTGTGGTTGAGTTGCTGGTAGGTGATCCACGAGATGTCTCCGTGTACAAAGGGTTAAATATATCTGTTTACCTAACATTTAAAAGTCTGTTTCTTCTTAACATAAAACACATTTTTTAAGGTGCGTAATGTTTGAATTTGACTAGAAATTAGTTTTCTTGCTTAGTTTAAGCTACTTTACTTGTCTCCCATTTTAATAGTTACTACCTGTTGACATTTCTGTTTGTTTTTTAAGGTTAACAATCAAGATGGTACATGCAGAAGCCTTTTCTCGTCCCTTGAGTCGGAATGAAGTTGTTGGCTTAATTTTCCGTTTGACAATATTTGGTGCAGTAACGTACTTTACCATCAAATGGATGGTAGATGCAATTGATCCAACCAGAAAGCAAAAAGTAGAAGCTCAGAAACAGGTATGATTGAAATGTTTGAAGATCATTTTTCTTGTGGCTAGCAAATATTTTTTCCTAAAACTTAAGAGTATAGTTGAATTATAGATTAATGAGAAATTCTATAAGACCCACATGAAAATGTGGTGATACACATATTTAGTTTCATTATTCCTGAAAAAAGTATTAGTTTATCAAGTCATTTTTTACTGTATAAGCAACTTATCAGAAGAACAGAAATGATTAATAAAAATACAGTATTGTGAACATCCTCACTAGAATATTTTTGTCAGCTTTTAAATGCAGGAATCTAAGTAAAAATTTTTCCACAGACTAAACAAAAATATTTATCTTCAATAATAGGCATTTTGCTTTGTATGACATTTGAAATGTGGTTAATACTGACAAGATATCATTGTTAGACTAATGAACTATACTAAAATCTAATTAAGAAATCGCTTTAAAAGGTAATTGATTGTTAATATAAGTTGTAGTTTTTAATTTTTCAGCTGATACCTTTTGTGATCATTTATTAGGATGGTGTATTTGGTTTTTGTTCGTCCTCAAAAAAATAAAATCCTTAAAGAAGGACTGTTGCAAATTTTTGTTAGTTTGCTGGTTTCTCTTGTCTGGCTTCTTTTTTTTTCTTTATAATTAATATAATGACGGAATAAGATACGTCTAATTGAATATCTTATACTAACTTACAATTTATCTTAAAATAACTGAATAAGATATTCATGAATTTTTAGATTTGTCCTGTGAGTTTTGACTCTGATTTAGTCAATAAACATTTATGGAGTTCCTAGCAAATGCTTAGTACAAAGGAAAAAGGATGAATAAATATTGTTCTTCCAAAATGTTGTTGGTTAATGTGGAAAATAAGGATGTAAATAGATGTCTGCTTTAAGGTGTTATACATAGCTCTTAAACCAGTAAAAAGTGGCAGTGAGTATATTCACTTTCAAATATATGTACTAGCCCCTCAAGCCCACCTTCTCTGGGGCTCGGCTGGCCAACCCATTGAGCTGACACTCTCAAGGCCCAGGCTGACCTGAAAAGTCTGTATCACTCCCTCATATGGGGGATTGCTGGGGTTCGATACTAAACCTTGCAGAACTATTTGACTTTCGAGTGTAAATAAACTTTAATAAAAAGATAAAGTCTGCCAGGCTTGGTGGCTCAGCCTGTAATCCCGCGCTTTGGGAGGCTGAGGTGAGTGGATTGCCTGAGCCTGTGGGTTCGAGACCCGCCTGGGCAACTTGGCGAGACCTCATCTCTACAATAAATCAAAACATCTGCCAGGCGTGGTAGTGCGTGCCTGTAGTTCCGGCTACTTGGAAGGCTGAGGCGGAAGGATCGCCGGAGCCCAGCAGGTCGAGGCTGCAGTGGCTGGGAGTGGCTACTGCACTCCAGTCTGGGTGACAGAATGAGACTCCAACTCAAAAAAAAACAAACAACAACAACAATATATATATATATTTGAGTGGATGGGTGAGATACAAAGCAATGTTTAAAGGATAATTAGTCTAATAGTAGTATATAGAAGGGATAGGACTCAGAAGAGACTAGAAGCAAGATCTGTTGGTTGTAAACTGTAACAATCCTGGCAAAGACCTAGAATAAGGAAGTGACAAAACAAATCGGAATGAGTGAAATAGACTCCAAAGAATGAAGGCAGGAAGTTGTGATGATGTGGAAAAAGAAAAAGGGCATCTTACAAGTAAAGATTTGTCTGGATTCCTCAAAGACTCATATCTTTTGTAGAGGTTTGGAAACTAGTAGATAGGGGAAGTTTATGGAAATATGCCATTTGAGTTTGTGCTGGTAGTGGGAATTTAGGGGGAAATTTCCATATATCAATTGAAGATATAGGTCTGAATCTCAGAGAAATGGTCAAGTCCTAGAGGTATGTTTCCTTATCAGATGACCATAAGTAGTTGGAGTCATTAGAGCAGTGAGCCTCACTCCCAAACCACTACTTCATCTTTCCTCTGTAACACCATCAAGACTTACACATTCAAATATTGAGAGCTCCTAATGTAATTGTCACTATGATAAATGCATATGACTGTGTTGAGAGTGATGAGTTCTCCAAAGGAGATGTTGTAAAGCAACATAAACAGTAAGCTGAAAAGTAAGCCTTGGTACATTCCCTTCATTTAGGGGGTGGAAAGATGACGTGAAGCCAGTGGAGAATGAATAGGTCAGCATGGATAACAGAGTACCGGGACTGACTCTACTGCTGAAAACAACTAAACAAGCTTGATAATTTTTTTAAGTGTTCTTAAAAGATTCTTCAAGAAAGTAAGGAATGAAGGTAAAAAACTTAACAAGAATTCAGAAAGTTAGGGTGAGCTTGATGACCAGCTTTCACTTTGAAGCAATTTGCTGAATCTACTGAACTTTAGTGTCTGTTTTATGATTCAGAGCTACTTGGGATACAAAGTACAGGGCCAAGCCAAGGTAGGAAGTCTCATAGATGATACCCCTATAAATCTAGGTCCCCAAAAAACTATATACTCTGTAGCATTTCAACTAAAGACAAAGGTGTAATGTTTTAAAGAGGAATGGTTTAATTACAGAAATTTAAGCCATGTGCTAGGTGAGGTGACTCATCTAAAATGTAGATACAGAAGGTTTGAAAGTAAGAAGATGGAAGAAACATCACACAAATAACAAGAAGAAAGCTAGCTGGGCAAAAAGAAACTGTAAGGCAAAGATATTATTAAAGGAAATGAATTTTACTGTGTAATGGTGAAAGATTGAATTCACCAAAAATATAATATTTCTGTATTTGTGTGTACCTATTAAGGTAGACTCAAAATATATAAAGCAAAATATGATAGAGCTACAAGGAGAAATAGGCATCTCCCTCATCATGGTGAGATTTTTAACATATCCTTCAATAATTGATGGATCAAACAGATTTTTTAAAATTCAGCAAGGATTTAGAAGATTTAAAAAAATGAAAAGCTTTATCTAGTAGATGTTTACAGTATATTGTATTCAAATGCAGAGTACATATCTCAAGCACACATGTAAGATTTGTGAAAATAAACCAAATACTAGATTATAAAGCAAATCTCAAGTTTCATAGTACTGGTAGCATATTCTTGGTTATAGTATAGTAGATTAAAGATGACCATAAAAATCAAATAAGTTTGGAAAGTGAGAGATACTTCTTAATAATTCATGGGTAAAATAAACAGTGATAATGAAATGAATAGAAATAATAAAATAAATAATGAATAGGGAAAATCAATAAAATCAAAAATTGTGTTTTGAAAAGAATAATAAAATTGAGACTTGAAATCTCAATTTCAGACCAACCAAGAAAAAAATGGGATCACCAGTAATATTACTGAGGACAATAAAGGAGACCTAATGACAGATGCTGTAGACATTAAAAATAGGTACTATTAATAACTATAGTTGGCCGGGTGCAATGGCTCACCCCTGTAAAACTAGTGCTTTGGGAAGCCAAGGCAAGAGGATTGCTTGACCCCAGGAGTTCGAGACCAGCCTAGACAACATAACGACCTCGTCTCTAAATCAAAATAAAACATTAGCCGGGCGTGATGGCATATGCTTGTAGTTCCAGCTGCTAGGTGAGACTGAGGTACAAGGATGCCTAAGCTCCAGAGGGCAAGGCTTCAGTGAGGCATGATTGTGCCACTGTCTCCAGCCTGGGCAACATAGTGAGACCCTAACTCAAAAATAAATAAATAAAAAATGCTATAGTTGACCCTTGAACAACATATTTGAACTGCACAGGTCCACGCATACACAGATTCTTTTCAGTAAGAGTTATACTTGTCCTTCCTGCCACGCTTTCCACTTCCACCTCTTTCACCTCTGCTTCTGAGACAATAAGACCAACCCCTCCTCTTCCTCCTCCTCTGTGTACTCAATATGAAGACAGTAAGTTGAAGACTTTTGTGACGATTCAATTTTAGTTAATAGTACATTTTCTCTAAGATTTTCTTAAATTTTTTTTTTGGTGTATTATAAGCATACAGCACGTACTACATATAACATACAAAATAGGTGTTATTGGCTACGTTATTGGCTTCTGGACAACGGAGGCTATTAATTAAGTTTTTTGGAAGTCAGAAGTTCTTGGATTTTCGACTGAGTGTGTTCAGGGCCCCTAATCCCGCTATTTTTTAAGGGTCAACTGTCAATAAGTTTGAAAACTTAAGATAATGGACAGAGTCTTAGAAAAACATGAATTACCAAAACTGGTTTAAAAAGAAATAGAATACATGAATAGTTTGTCCCATAACTATTGGAGATATTTTTTAATAACGAAAACTCCAGTCCCATAGGACTTCACAAGCAAGTTCTACCAACATTTAAGGAAAACTGTAATCATAACAAATTTATACAAACTCTTCTAGAGCATAGAAAAAGAGGAAACACTCACCAAATCTTTTTATGAGGCTAGTATAACCACAATTACAAAGTCTATAGTAGCCAGTAGTCTCTTATTTCACTTCTAAACAGATACAAAAATCTTTTTTTTTTTTGAGTCGGAGTCTCACTCTGTTGCCCAGACTGGAGTGCAGGGGCCGCTCCCGGCCACCGCAGCCTCGACGTGCTGGGCTCCGGCGGTCCTTCTGCCTCAGCCTTCCAAGTAGCCGGAATTACAGGCATGCGCTACCACGCCCGGCTGATTTTTTGATTTATTGTAGAGATGAGGTCTCGCTGTCCAGGCGGGTCTCCAACCCGCAGGCTCAGGCAATCCACTCACCTCAGCCTCCCAAAGGCGCGGGATTACAGGCTGAGCCACCGAGCCCAGCATGATACAAAAATCTTAAATAAAATATCAGCAAGTTGAATTCAGTAATGTATGAAAAATGTCATATGACCATTTGGATTTATCCCAGGAGTTTGACTGGCTTCATTTGAGAGGGGAGAAAAAAAATCAATGTAATTTGCAAACTAACACTAACAGATTAAAAACTGTATGATTAATATCAATTCATGAAGATGAGGTCTTTGTTAAAATTAAACATTCA